TTCAGTTTTTCATGTGAAATCACGTTTCTTTTGCAAAAGTTATGAGCGGTATTGTAGATGCTGCAACATACCAATTCATCTTCTTACATTTTGCTCAGGATCAAGCGAAAAGGACAGAAAAAAGTTTCTTTCTCATGAAATTTCACCATCAGCCGTTGTGAGTTAGTGCTCCACATGTTTAGTGCTTTTAAGTAAATTTCAATAGGAAACCTTACACTTTTTACCCTATTGTTAACGCATCTTTGCTCCTTGGTTGCCTCGTAGGTCTCAAAAACTTCTCCAAGCACTACAGTTTAGCTTTGGCTTACTAATTGTAGATTTAACTTCAGAACTGATGTAATCATTTTCCTCACTACATTAGTTAGCAAAAGACTGTACCTATTTAACATCAAGCGTAGTATCATGAGTATGGGGATCGTGCGACTGCAGAAGAAACTTTCTATTGTATTCAGAGTTGGAATTGATATTCAAACAGCAAAGGAAAAACGTACTTGCAACGGTACGTGGGTTGAATTTTGTTTTTAAAACAACAGAAGACACACCGGTTCTGCACAAATGTATTGAGCATATTCTAAAAAAAATCAGTATTCCGCAAATCAGACGATATCACGTATTAATGCAAAATTAGTTCCTCTTTTTATTCGTTCAATAGAGCGAGCAACAATGAATATACGAATACTGTGCTAACAATAAAATTAGACTTCATTCAAAAAACGTGCCTTGTTTTTTGCATTTGATAACATTTGTTTAAGGTGACTATTAGGAAGCAACCAGAATCGTTACGTAGGCAAGGCTATAAAAGATGGATTCTCCAATTAGTCACAACAAATCCCTCTTCTCGATGTTAACAGCGGTTGGTCTTGAGATTGAAAAGCTTTAGCTCATAAACCTCTCATTAATTGTTTTATAGATTTTACTCCTGTGTCTTCTAAGCCTCACACAGTCGCGTAAGTCGGTATCGAAGAAATACACAAGTCTTCCAGGTTGCCAAAAATCTTACAATTTTCAATAAATTCGTATTTATAGAAAAGGCGAATTGCCCTGGAAAATCGTTAACAAATGATGAGCGTGATAAATTGACCGATTGGCATAACGCTCATCGCTCAAATCTAGCGAAAGGAGCATTTCCTGGCTACTCAGGAAATTTGAATGCCGGCAAAAATATCTACAAATTGGTAAATAGTTTAACTTCCGAGATTTTTTAGTAGGAGAAAGTGGGTTTCAGAAGTACGACTGCAGCCTTGAAGATAAAGCAGTTGCATCGACAGCTGGCGTTTGTCGAACTGCAGCTATGCATGATGCGCAAAATGTTCAAGCGTAAGTTTAATTTACTACGTCTACGTGAATTGTATCAACAAATGTCCCGTGACTTCAAAAAAGTTTTCCGCATGGAAAACGTAACGGCATCGAGCTTAATGCAGTAGATATGTACGGTTTACTATAACATCGTTTTCGGGCAGTTGCCATCTATGAGTGGTTTCATAGCAGCGGAGCACCTTAAGCCCCATAATGCTATGCTGCTTCCCAGCCTATCAGTCACTCATTGCTGA